AAAAAAAAAAAAATAGGAAAGAGAGGCAGACGTGACAGGCCTGCGAAAACACACATGAATAAAGATGGAGTTGGGAACACGGCACCAGCTTATAAAGGCTGGGCCACGCCTGCACACAGGTCCATGTGGCTTTTCCACACATGCGCATAGATCACATGGTTGCACTGAGTGCTTTACGCAACCACGTAAAGCCACGGGGTCCTGGTCACGTGAGACGTTTTGGCCCGGAAATGGCTATTTTGACCCGGAAATGGCTAGGCGGAAGTGTCTAGGTCTGCTAGGCATGCGCAACCATGGGGGCATATTGTGAATCCCTATCACTCTGCCTACCAAGAGTTCCTACCCCAGTAACAAGGAACATAGGACAGCATAGGACAATTTTCAACATAAAAAAATTACAACAATGATTTCATAATCTAAACTAAAATCCACCTTGATATGCTCCCAGCACTTGGTCCTGATTAGATCTTGCTGTGGAATAATCCTTCTGTACACTGAAAATATATATTGTTCTCATTGCTAATAAAAAGCTGACTATCAGATAGCTAGGCAGGAAGAGATTGGGTGAGACAGCCTAACACAGAAAGAATGCTAGAATGAAGAAAGACAAAGTCAGAGGAGATGCCAGCTAGCCACCAAGAAAATGAGGTAATAAGGCATGAGTCATGTGGCAAAGCACAGATAGGAAATATGGGGTAATTTAAATGTAAGAGTTTGCTAGTAACAAGCCTGAGCTATGGGCCAAGCATTTACAATTAATATTTAGCCTCAGGGTGGTTATTTTGGACTGGGCAATCAGGACAGGAAACTGCCACCTACAAGATCTTCTGTAAAAGTACCAAACAATTCAAAACTCACTTCCAAACACAGCCTTCCCTGGACCTGAGAATACCCAAGTAGTCTATGCGCTCCACTATCTCAGGTCTCTGTAGAACTCATTAAACTCCATCTCCCTCATCCTGCATGGCTGGTGTTCAGTGGCTTTGCTCTAGGGTGTGTGTGGATCACAGTGAGAAGATCCAGGTTCAGTTCTAAAGACACCCATTGCCAAGTCAGCCCCATGTTGCCTTGGTAATGCTTTTTGTTACTTCTACCGTGGTTGTTTATTGACTTTGCAAGCATCATCGGAACCTCCTGGCTGTTTTCACACCCCACTGCTCACTCCACAACAACCCTATTTTTGCATCGTTGTCGTTCAGAGAACATAGAGTGAAACCATGTGTAAATACCCTCTTCAAATCAGCATGCCTTTGCAAAATCCCTCAGGACTTCTGCAATGAGAAATTTCACATTTCAAAATAAAAATAGCTCCTACTCACAGTTATCCACATTGTACTTGGGTTTGGCTTTAAGAGTTGGAATTAAAGGGGAAAAAAATCAAAGAGTATATTGCCAGAAGGGGCCCTAAGTTAAATCTAACCTAATCTGACTCAGAGAGTATAAACTGCTTCTAAGAGAGGTGAACTGGGGCTGGAATTCAAGTCTTTGAACTGCTAAGGGCAGCATTCTTTCTGCCACACAGCAAAGCCTTGACAAAGGAGAAAAGAACGCCAAGACCCACTGGAAAACCTGCTTTCAAGTTTGGAGATGAAAAGCCACTTAAAAAAGAAAAAGAAAGAGTCGGTTTGTAGCATTTTTTTCTCTAGCCCTAAAGGCTAGAAATTATTATTTCTCTTAATAAAATGGATGGGCTAAAGCAGGATGATTTTCTTCCCAGAAAAACAGCTTCAAAAAGCCAAAATATAGATGGCTTTTTTCCAACAAAAGCAGGAAAAATACACACAATAAATTAGCTCAGCCACAGGATGGCACTGCAGAGTTATGTATCATCAGTTTGTGTCAGTAGTCTTCTCAAGGTTGACTTCAAGTTTATTTAATAATGCGTGAGCAACTTAATAACTGTGCACGCCAAATACTTAACTGAAATACCTATAAAAGTGAAACGCAAGTCCATACTTTGGGTAGCGTATTCTTTTAATGTTTGTTGAGTTCCAGGCTGCAGCTTTAAATGCCTCAGAAGATGCTAGATTTATTCTGTGACCCAAAGCACACATGTCACTTGGTTGTTAGGAATAGCAGCTTCAGGTAGATGACTCCCTGCACTACTTAAGATAGACTGGTGAGTACATTATGTGGCTTCCATCTGAGGAAAAGGCCCTCATCAGTCTCGGTCTTTAGGATTTCTTTAGGAAAGAAAGATCTGCCTCGCTCACACAGCTCCTCCCATGGAGTAGGTAAACCAGAATAAGACAGGCAGGGCAGGAGCCCATTTAGTGAATGGGTAGGCATTGCTCTTAGGGTGTTGTACGGTGGTACTGCGTGACAATGGTCTCAGAACACCTCAAACTACAGCCGTAATCGTGAGCAAGCTCAGTTTTCTCAGCTTCTGCATCCCCACCTGTAAGTTGGTGAAAACAGTGTCCTCCCAAAGTGTTGGTGTGAGGATTAATTGAGAAGATTCATATGGGGTACGTGGTGAGCTCTTGTCCAGATGGTGACAGTGGTGATGATGATGATAATGATGGTGGTGATGGTGATGATGATGACGCCACCATCTAGTGGTGGTGGTACTGATGATTCTACCTCAAAAGACTGAGGTGAGTGTTGCTATGTGAGGGACGCCCTTCTACAGCACCCAAAATGCAGTGGGGGATGCAGCCACAGTGAAGGGTAGCCATAATGCCTGGGCTCCACAGAACTGGGAGCTTGCGTCAACCAAGAATAGCTGGAGAAGCCCAGGTCAACTTCTGTCTCATGCAATTACAGACTTGAACTCAGGGACTGGGAGAACAGTTCCTCTAAGAAAATGCCATGCAAGCACAGTGACCTGAGTTTGATCCCCAGCAGCCATGAAAAAGCCAGGCACAGTGGCATGTGTCTTTAAGTCCAGCACTGGAGGAAGTCAGGGACAGACAGGTGGCTCACTGGAGTTCACTGGCCAGGCAGGCTGGCCAACTGTGCAGGCTCTGGGAGAGTGCCTGTCTCCAAAACCAAGGGGAAGAACAACTGAAGGGCATCTGACGTCAACTTCTGACCCCCACGCACATTCACACACACACACACACACACACACACACACACACACACACACACCAAATAATAATAATTTAAAAAAAAACAAAACAGACAAGTTCTATCGAATCAAAAGTCCCTGGAGCCTGTAGGTTTCATATGTGGTGGGATCTCCAGGGCTTATCTCCATTTAATGGAGCTACCCATGTGTAGCCTCAGATGAGCAATCAATTTACCATGTGGGCGTTTGGGGATTTCTGGATAAAAAAAATCATTAATTCCCTTGAAGCTTGCCATACTGAACAAACTTGTGGTGAGATTTTGTTTATGCTCTAACAAATAAAGCTTGCCCGGAGATCAGAGGGCGGAGCTAGTCACTAGTTAACCATAGAAACCAGGCAGGGGTGGCACACACCTTTAGTACCAGCACTTGGAGGAAGTAGGAAGATCAGAAGTTCAAGGCTACCCTGGGCTACACGAGATTAATCCAGTCTAAAAGAGCAACAGAGCCAGGTGGTGGTGGGTCTTTAATCCCAGCACTTGGGATCTCATACCTTTGATCCCAGCAGTAGGGAGGTGGAGACAGGAAGTGATATGGCTGGGCAGAGAGAGGAATATAAGGTGGGAGGAGACAGGAACTCAGCCCTTTCAATCTGAGGATTCCTAGAGGTAAGAAGTCTCTCTGGTGGCTGGCTACTCTGCTTCTCTGATCTTTCAGCTTTCACCCTGATATCTGACTCTGGGTTTTTATTATTAAGACCAATTAGATTCACACTACACAAACCGGAAGAATTAATGTGATCTTCAAGAGCCAGCTGAATAACCCCACATTCTCACATGCTTCCCACAGGTCTGGGACCATTCAACTGTTCTCCTTCACCACTTCCGTTCTAGAGACAAACTCAAGTGACTGAGTGAGGAGAAGAGATGTTTGGCATAGATTATAAATAAATTATTTTAAGATAACTATCACATTAATTTAAAATTCTCTTAATGCTAACAAGTACAAGCACTAACAACCAAATGTTGACACAGACAAGCTGTGTCCTTCATAGCTCTGGCTAGCAGACCAAGCTAGGATGGCTCTGTGAAACAGTGTTTGTTAACACAGCAAGAACAACACAAACATGCAAGTTCTTTTTTAGGATCTCAACTGGAACTAAAAGTAGCATCAATGGTAGAGTCTGCAGAGCAAGTTATTATTAAATGTAGGATAGCCTTGCTTCCATTTAATTCGTACTCAAATTGCTGGCCGAGACTTCGTTCAAGCTATTATTAGTAACAGTCTCTTTTGTCATTTGAGGAACAAACCAGAAAATGAACATACAATTAATGTTACCCATTGAGCATGCAAATATCACGCCTTCCCTTTTTTTGTATTTTTTCTTTTTTTGTAAGATAGGGATTTGGGGGGGGGGGTTGGTTTTTGGTTTTGGGTTTTGGTTTTTTTGTTTGTTTGTTTTTTTGTTTTTCAAGACAGGTTTTCTCTGTGTAGCTTTGCACCTTTCTTGGAACTCACTCTGTAGCCCAGGCTGGCCTCCAACTCACAGAGATCCACCTGGCTCTGCCTCCTGAGTGATGGGATTAAAGGTGTGCACCACCAGCTCCATTTTTATTTTTTAAGTGTTGTTAGCTCTAAGATATATGTCTAGTTTTGATGAGAGATGTAAAAAAAAAAAAAAGCCTTTCCAGAGCATTTGAACACTGAGGCTTGAAGCTTTCATAAGGAAGCAATGTTTCACGTGCCAACAGTAACTCCAGTGGGGTCTCAATGGGAGTATAGTTGCCTTCCTAGCCTACGTTCCAATGCTTGGAAAATGAATACAGAAAATAAATGTGCTTTCTGCCAACAAAAGTGCTACCAACATTGTGGGGAAATCAATAGACATGTCGTCAACTTCCTCATGCTAAGACCGATCAGAGTGGGTCCTAGTAAGTGCGAATTGTATAAGACAACGTCTCCTGGCCTAGCAGATGGCTCAGTCAGCGAAGCGCTTGCCTCATGAGCATGAGTATCTGGGTTTGATTCCCTAGAACCCGTGGGAGAATGTCAGATATGACAGTGTATGCTTGTTATCTTAAGACCGGAGAGATGGAGACAGGGGGATCGCCACGGCAGGCTGGCCAGCTAGTCTGTTCTAATGGTGGACTTTAGACCAATGTCTCCAAGGAGGCAGAGAGCATTACTAAGAGTGATACCAAATAATCCAATGGCCTGCATATACACATGTATTTGCACACTTGTGAACACACACATATAGACACACATAGTATATGCATACAATAATAACAATAAATCAGCTGAAGGAGTCAGAGAGTTTAGGTGATTTTTTAATCAAACAGCAAGTGAGTCATAAGTAAAAAGTCCCAGAACGCCACAATATAAACAGTTTATCCTGCAAACCAAGACACTTTCCAGAGTGACGGAGGGCACTCTTCATGATTACTGTGGGACAAAGAGCATAAACAGGGATGTCCTGGGCCAGCCAGGAAGGACAGTCCCCTTTCCTAGTAACCAGAGGGATCGGGTATCAAGAGTGACAAATGTGGCTTCTGGCACATGGAGACGCTAGAATGTGCCTGTCTGTGCTAATAATTCCCATTCTTTACACTGACTCTTCATGGCCCTCGCTGTATATGATTACCATTAAAATCAAGACCAATCCATTCTATCACATATATTCACTGAATGTTAAATGATTCCCTAAATACTCTTTGCTCAACTCGGCATTCAATGTATGGTATAGAAAGCCTTAGGAGAGAAGTCTTACATTGTATTTCATACCTTGGAAGCTTGCCCTATGATCATCAGTTTTCGGCAAATGGTGTAAATGTAAATGGTACCTAAGTGGGGAGAAAGATTGTTAGCATCTTTTTCAGTCAGAAGATGGAGGTTGCATATTGCAATTTCTATAGCTTAGGTCTGTCATTCCCAAAACAAGCACTCTCATGAGGTTTGGTAATGGTAGAAAGTGATAATTGTTGTAATTTTTCTCGTCACTTAAGCACAAAATTATTGAGTTAACTAATATGAACATATTTTAAATATGTTAACACCACAATCATTCAGCCTCCTTTTATGGCAATTTGAGTTTTAAAATATACTGGGGAGAACAATATTTTAGCAGAAAATTTATATAACTTGTGGTTTTATTAACTCTAAAATGTTCTTTTTTCCTGTGCCTTTCTTATGGCTGAAAAATGAAAGATTTCTCTCTGACTTATTAGGATACATATTTAATCAGTGTGGGACACCATTCAACGAGGAAGCTCGGGGTAAACTGAAAACTTGAAACAGGTGAGGAGCGGCATTCAGTCTAACGAAAACTACCATCTCAGGAGGATTCGTGTGCCAGACGATTCATTACACGAGAAGAGAAAGCTGGTGGCGGGGTGAGAGAGGCGGAGTGCATCACTAGACCTCTGTCGGCAAAGGGCACCGTCCTGCTATAAGCATGCTCAAAAGCCCACGTGCTTTTGGAAGGTTCGCCTCGCAATGACAAGCAGTCCAGCCGTTTTCTACAGAGTAGCTGATCTAAAATTCACGGCCAGCAAGACTCAACTCTAAAAGCATCCGCTCCCAAAAACATTCCTTGATTTTTAAAACACCTGTGAGCACAGCAAACATCATTACACAAGTCTACAACAGAAACACCGAGCGCCATCTGAAATCCTCACAGCGCCGAACGCTTCCAAGAACACAATTAATTGGATCTTAGCAGTCAAGGGCTTGGCGGACTGAGTGCCCGTGACATGTGTGGTGATATATTGGTTACCCTAATAAATTTGCCCGGGGATCAGGCAAGCCAGCCACTTAGATTAGACATAGAGGCCAGACAGTGGTGGCACACACCTTTAACCCTATCACTGGAGAGGCAGAGATCCTTCTGGATCTCTGTGAGTTCAAGGCCACACTGGAAACAGAGCCAGGCAGTGGTGGCACACGCCTTTAATCCCAGTACTAGGAAGCACATGTGCCTTTAATCCCAGGAAGTAACGGCAGGGCAGAGAAAGGTATATAAGGCATGAGGAAACAGGAACTAAAGCAGTTCAGCTGAGACCCTTTCGGGTGAAGACTGAGGATTCAGTCAGAAGATTCGTGGAGTTGGTGAGGTAATAGGTGGTGGCTGCCTGTTCTGCTTCTCTGATATTTCAGCTTTCACCCTGATATCTGGCTCTGGGTTTTTTATTATAACACCATTTAAGATTCAGACAACAGACATGTACTTACTGCCTTCAGGAACCCACCCAAAGCCGTCCTAAGCACCTCGGCTTGGCTGTGTTGAGAGTATGACCCTTGGGGCCAGGGAGACGGCTCAGTGCCGGCTTTGTGAGCATGAAGACCTGAGTCAGCTGGGTGTGGTGGCACACACGTGTAACCCCAGTGCAGGGAGGGTGGAGAAAGGCGAGGTCCAGGGACTCACTGGTCAGCCAAGCTCGCTAAATCGGTGAGCTCTAGGTTCAGGGACAAAACCCTGTCTCAAAAGACAATAGAGGAAGCCACCCTGACACTAATATCTGGCATTCACACACATACGCGTACATACATATACACTAGACACACATATATACTACACTAGATACACATATGCACTCATATATCAACTACACACACATGCACCCACATATACATTACACATACATGTACTATACACACATACACACTACACATACACACAAATACACTACACACACATACACACTACATATATACATACACACACATGCACGTAAATATACCCCACACACATGCACATACATGTACATTACACACGTACATTACACATATAGACACACACACAGAGGACAAAATGCAGCTGTATGACTGATTCCTTGTAGAAAAGAAAAAGTCACCAAGTACGGCAGTGCACAGGAAGCACATGCCTGCCCACAGAGCACGTGACTCGGGGTTCAAGCCAGGAGCCTGGAAAAATATGTCAGCAGTTGGGGGCTGTCCTTGGGGACGACAAAGGCCCTTCTGTGTTTCAAACCATGCCTGTAACCTTGACAACCCTGGTCCATCCCGGCCACATCGGAATTCTTCTTTGACAGCTCTGGATTTTGGCCTGGCTCACTAATGCCCACAAGCAGAAGCCACAGGCAAGATAGATGGTACAGGATGGGACACAGACTGAATCTTTATGAACTCAGACATTATGGAAGTCAGCTGCTGCTCTTTCTTCTTCTTCTTCTTCTTCTTCTTCTTCTTCTTCTTCTTCTTCTTCTTCTTCTTCTTCTTCTTCTTCTTCTTCTTCTCCTTCTTCTTCTTCTCCCTCTCCTCCTCCTCCTTCTTCTCCCTCTCCTCCTCTTCCTCCTTCTTCTTCTCCCTCTCCTCCTCCTTCTTCTCCTCCTTCTTTTGAGCCAAATCCCTACTCTGAATTTATTAAGCCTGATCCTGGGACTCCTCTTCATCAAAGATGGCCACTGTCAAAATGTTCTGAAAGTCTTGATTAGTTGAGTTCAGTTACTTGGGAAGGTTTGACATCTTCCAGAAAGAATCAAGACTAATTAATGTCTTAAGTGACCAGTGGTAAGCTGTCTGCATGAAAAGGTCAAATCACTTTGACAAGTTATTAAATGCACACTTCTGACTGCTTAAATACAAACTGTTAAAACTCCGGGGCCTGTGGACCAGCTTGTCCCCGAACAGTCCAGGTGGCTCCTTCAGCTCCTTGTCCAACTGCCCCCAAGCAGTTGACGTACATTTCTAGCCCTCCCTTAGCCAGGGCCTCTGCTTCCTTCCTTGTCTGCCTTCTCACTGGATTTTCTCCACGGCAGCACCTAACATATTGGTTTCGTGCACCACCTCCCTGTGGGAGAAACAAGTGTACATTTTCATCTGCTATTTTTTCCTGCTTCTTGGGCACCTAGGACCAACCATGCTGGGCTCACGGGGGGGGGGGGGGTTACTCAGTCAGTCTTAGTACTTAGGTTTAGTCACTAATTAGTGAAACCAAGTATAATATATGTATATCTCACTACCCAGCAACTCCACTCCTGGACATAGAGCCCAGAGAACTGTCCCTGTCCCTCCAATCTATAAAACAAGATACGCAAAGATATTCATTGCAGAATTGTTTATGCAAATAGAAATACGGGACAGACTAGGTGCCCTCCCTAGGGACACGCATGGGCAGTTGCAGAATGAGTTAAGGAATTAGAGTCCCGTACAGGAACCTGACTGATTCTACAACACAGCATTGACTGAGAAATCCAGGAAACAGAATGTCTAGAGTTCAGTCATATTTATAAACATAAAGCTCACACCAGAAAAGGGGCCAAGAACTCGAATCTCTTTTTCAAAGAGAAAAGGAAGAGGAGCAAATCTGATTGTTTGTTTGTTTTTGAGACAGAGAGTGTCCTAAAGGCCGGGCTGTTATGATATATTGCATGGGGGACCCCGAGGGTATCCCGCAGGTGCAAGGAAACCTGCTGGGCAGATGCGGTGGCCCACGCCCTGTGGGCCTGGCGGAGGGCGGTGGTGGCCAGTCATTCACACCCCAGATGCTGCATCCGTATGAAAATGGCATATTATTATAATAGAGAGATGAAGGAAAAGATAAGAAAGGGGGAGAGGAGAGAGAGGAGTTGAGGGTACACACCTCGTAGGAGGAAAAGCAGAAGAGAGAGAGGAAGGAGAGAGGTTTTTCCTTAAAATGAGGCTTTTTCAGGACACAGGCGCTGAGGGGCAGGTCCGAATCCTAACCTTGGTTTCCAAGGGGCGGGTCCGAATATTAACACAGGCTGCTCTTGAACGCTCCCTCTTCCTGCCTAATCCTCCACATGCCAGAATTATAGGTTTATGTGACTGTATCACATCCATAGCTGATCTTAAGGGCCATAAAACGGCATAGACCGTTTCTACCCGTCAAGGAGCTCCAGCCTTGCACATGGTGTTCACGGGCTCATGGGTGCAGACGCACTCCCACGGCCCGGTCCATCTCTGCCAGCACGCCTCAGCTAAGGGAGTCGAGGACGCTGCTGACGACCAGCCACAAATGCTTAACGGTCACCGATCCCAAAGTCTTGTCAAAGTCACTCTCATTTCTAACAGCAAATGCTCAATGTCATTTCAGTCAAAGTGCCAGGATGTGATTTGGGGTGGATAAAGATGGAAGCAGCTAGGAGATAAACTTTCAGTTGCCATGAGGTGGGGGGAAACACAGGATATTTTCATTGGAATTATTCTTTCCTAGTCTTATGCACGTGAGACAGACTATCACTATTATTTTTTTGTTTAGAGTATATTATCCATCCTTAGCACCATCAGGAAAATAAAAAACACATATTATCCAGAGACCAATATAGTAAACACCCAGAGTAACTTTAGAATGAAACAAAAGTTACGCTTTAATTGCTAAGATTAGTTTCTTTACACACATGCGCATTATATATAATATATATAAATATATATATAAAATAGTGTGTATATATGGACAAGTGTTGCTGAGAGAGAGAGAGAGAGAGAGAGAGAGAGAGAGAGAGAGAGAGAGAGGAGAGATCCTCACTCAAAAACAAGCTGGGCAGGGGATGTTGCTATGTAGAAAGCCAAAACTACTAGGCAGCGTCTTTAAGGAGAGAACTAAAAAAGCAAATGATTCATAGAACCAATCTACCACAGCAGCCCCTTAATCCGCCCCCCCACGTCTTCCCCCTTACCAACGATGGTCCCTGAAACCAACCACCCCACAGCCACTGACCCTTCCTTTGGGGGAAAACCCCAAAGTCTCACTGGTGAGGACAAACTACAATGTAATCCAATTTTTTAAAAATCGTATGATTATCCTATTATAAAAATGTGCACGTTTTAAATCACAGCATGATCAAGTTACCCTCGGACTTGGTAATAAATAAACTTGAAATGAGCGTCTGAAAGGCGCAACGGGAAACGGGACGTTTTGGTTCCCACCGTTGAAGAGGATCCAGCAAAGGTGCTCCTGCGGGAGAGCCACCTGCATGATGAGCCGCAGGGACGACAGGATGTGGAGACACTGGCTCACGGACTCTTTATTCTGCAGGTTGGCATCGCTTTCACAGACCAGCTCATAGCTGCAAATGTTTTTGCCACTCAAAGCGTGAAACTGAAAGACATGGGGAAACAGACAAATATAAACTGGGCTTATAAGATTCAGAAAAGGCATTTCTCACCAATGTAAAAAAAAAAAAAAAAAAAAAAAGCCTAAAATGATTCATTGGTTTAATGCATTAGTATGCAAAGAAACATAAGACAGGCTTCATTAGAACATTCATTTAGTTAGATTAGCTTTCCGTAGGCAAAAGAAAATCCCAAACAAAAGAGTACTAAAATCCCATTATCCATTATCTCATTACCATTCAGCACTATTTGTAATCTCATCCAAGAGCATTTTAACCTATTTATTAACTCAAATGCGATTACTTCAATTTATATAATGCTTTCAGCAAATGTTGATTGACCACCGCTGTTTCAAGGGAAGAAACAGCCTCGGCTCTGGGCAGAGGCAAAGTGTTCCAGGCACAGACAACATCAGGGATGCTCTGGGTGTCAGTCATGCTCGCTGAGTCCAGAAGAGGCCATCGGATACCGGGAGTGTTGTGAATGTGGGCGCTGAGAACCAAACTCGGATCCTCTGCAAGAGCAGCAAGCACTCTTAGCTGCAGACTAGGCTCTCCAGCCCCAGGCTGGTTTCTTAACCTCTACTAATCTTGTTTTTTTTAATCAGTAAAAAGGGAAAACAACTCCACTTCTTAGGGTCGTAGGAGGCTGTGAGCTGATAATTATACAGTGCATTTGGAGGTTACTTAGCACAAAGTTCACTTTGGCGTGACTTTTTTTTTTTTATTTGCTTTTGGCTTATGTTTTTGTCCCCATAAAGGCACCTGGGGTATTTGGAAGGAGGCAACAAGGCCAGACTCTGAGAATCACAAGGAAGGTAAAGCTGACAGGGTCCCATAGCCCTATCTTCTCATCAGGGATTCCTTTATCTCCAGATTCCCAAGCACAGTTCTGAAGCTTCAGGGAACTCCACTAGCAAATTGATGCCAGCAATTAATATAGTAACACTGATATAATAAAGATATAGCTTAAAATTTCTTATCAAAAAATCTGTTTGCACTAAAGGAGCACTTTTTTTTAATTACGATACCTATATACTAAGCCTTGTTTTCCTCATCTTTAAGATAGGGCAATAATAAGATCTATCTTGAACATGTTGTAAGGATCCAGTATGTTTTCCAAAACTCTTTGTAAACGAATGTACCTGCCAGTATTAGTTGCTATGGCAACAGCGCTGCCTGCAGAATGAATTGGCACTTACATTTACACAAACTCCAAAGCTCTGCTCCAAAGCCTAATAAATTCACTGTGTTGACCAGCCCTCAAAACACGCAGCAGACTGCTCACAGCGTCCAGCCAGATGCTGTACCAGGCACAGGATGGCATCTAGACACTGTCAACCGAAGGCTACACTAATCACCAAGTCACCAGCCGCGGGGCTCTTCGCTGCTTTTCCCACCTTACCGTAAGCCCAGCAGTTTCATCTCCAAAGCCTTTGGGGAAAAAGACAGATTTGAACTGATTCACATCCTCTTTGTACTCATCGAAGTCAGTAGTGAACTGCTGGAGATACCTCCCATAGCACTGCAGAAGAGCGAGCTTGTATTCCTAAAATAAAAGAGGACTTGGTTACAGTTTCAGAATGTTGTCTTAAGATTGAGCGATATGGCCAGGTGGTGGCGGAGCACGCCTTTAATCCCAGCACTGGCGGATCTCTGTGAGTCCGAGGCTAGCCTGGTCTACAGAGCGAGATCCAGGACAGGCACCAAAACTGCACAGAGAAATCCTGTCTTGAAAAACAAACAAAAAAAAAAAAAGATTGAGCAATAGTCACAGTATCCTTAATCTTATCGATGTTGGTTTCTACCACTTCCAGAGAGTCCCAGTGACTCGATGTACCCTTATTGAATACTGAATGTTACCATTTTGTACCTAGGGTCCATTTCTTTATATACCCAGCCCTACAACTACCAGGTGACCAGCACCATTTCCCAAGCATGCCTAATGTGACAGACCGTCTCTCTGCAATGGATGCATGTTACTGTGTTGAATCCTCAGAACAAGCCCACTGGGAAATGGGACCGTTGTGATCACGATGAGGAGAATATGCACATTTGTTCTAAATGTGGCAACACCCTCAGCTCCTCACAGACTCGGAATCGAAGTTCTCAAATCCAACACCCTCTGGTCATGGCGGCCCACACTGTCAACTCAAAAGTAAAGACTGGAGTCTTGTTACAGAGTGTGGGGGTGCGGGGGGGGGGGTTGTTTCCATCCCCCATGTGGGACAGTAGACCTGGAAAGTGTCAGCAGGGAACATGGAACCCTTCTACAGCTTCCTCCTCCACAGCCCTGTCTCCAGGAAAAGCCAATGGCTTGGCTCTGACCCGCCCACCTGCCTAGGCCTGTCTATCAGAAGCATTGGGATATGGCCAAGCTTAGCTACTGCCCATCACCAACTCGCTCCCTCAGTGTCTAAGATGTTCCCTCCTCCTGCACCAACATCCCCCACACTCACCCACTGCACCTAAGACTATCCATCTATCCCAGGCGATGCGACCTCTCAGGCCTAGAGCTATCAACATAAAAAGGGGCATTTTGTCAACTGTCACTCCACTTCATAGAACTGGAACTCACCTATTTTTCCCCCAAAGACCTTGTTTTCAAGTGTGTAAGAGCCTTGGTGCATGCATGTGGCGCTAAGGCTATCTCTAATTTAGGTAGAGGAAGCCAGAACTTAATTCTGTGGATGAAAAGAAAGGCACCTTAGACTGAAGCTTCTGGAAAGCTGATAGCTGATTAGAACTTGGGCGATTGTGGGGAGGTTGGAATGTTGCAGATCCAGAGTCTAACTACAATTTATCTTGGGCTACCTTTTAGCCCCTTTAAAGCATTCCTTGCCTGTCTCTGTGTTTGATCCTCATGACTTCACCATCAGGTGAAATCTCTTGAAATATGTTAATTTAGCAGACTGTTAGAATGGCCACCAACAAAAAGTCTAAATAAATATGCCATCAGATAGTATCTGAGGCTTACAGCAGAGATTCTTCCACTTTGCTATGACCTGTCTGTCTGATGTTTCTACCAATATATTTGAAAAGTGTCTTGATTGACAACTAGCAAGTCTTAAGCGATTATAAAAACTTTATGAAACTGTTAACCACGATGGACAAGTAATTTGAGGCGATCTGAACCTGTGCTCCAGGGCCACGGTCACTCACATTTGGCTTCAGGACAAATCATCCCTGACCCTTTCTGAGGTAAGAGTTGTATTTTTGTGTTGATGGTGTTTCAGATAGGTGTTTCTACATCTATCCTCTCTTTTGGTGAATTTGCCCTGGTCCCAGAACATAGATTAAAGTCTAAGCAGTAGAAATGCACGAAGAAAATCAAGCCAAGAAACTGAAAATGGAGAAAGCGCTAATACTGCCTATGCCCGGGCTAAGATCCCAGTGCATAAAGTAACTCCTTGTCCAGCACTGACTAGAACTTGCTATATTTGGACTTAAGCCAGAGCTCGGGGTTAAACGCACAAGGTCGTGAAATGAAAACCCAGCCGTGGCACAGTCTTATCAAGTCAAGTTCAGGTCCATGACATTCAGAATCATAGACCCTGATACTGAACTAACATTATGGTACATGCTCAGGTTCTAATAGAAGACTGAGCAGGAAATGGGGCACATAGGCCAGACTCACAGTACAGCAAAACACTCAGAGGAACCTAAAAGTCATTAAAACAGGACACTGAACAGCCAGGCCAGTAGCCGTGAGGGCTGACCCGGCAAGGCCGCCAGCCCGGTCAAAAACAACAGGAAGTGTTGTCTGGGCTCCTTTGTGTAAGGTAGGTACATGATGACTCAGCCCTTCCTGCTGGGGGCCACCACACCCTCTGTCCATGGAGCTGAGCTGCCTGCCCATCCCAGCCCGGCCTGCCTCTGCTTCCTGAAGAAACCACCCTGGAGAATTTCAAATACAAAGTGAGAAGGCTAACTTCATCGTCGTCATGACTGTTACTGGACCCCATTACAATTTTTAATCCATTTGAGTATGATTTTCAAAACAAACAAACATCCAGACTAGGAAAAGTATCGACCCAAACCCTAACCAGCCAAAGCAGTTGGTTTGGCGCTGGTTCTCTACGTTAGAATCACTTACTTTCATTTGACACAGGCTGTCTCCAACCTTCAGAAGCTTCTCGTTGTAGTAGTCAGACGGCAGCCTGGGGGCGTACTTGGTCCAGATATTAAACAGAGTAGTGGCACTGTGAGGATCGTAAAGAAAGACATCTTCAGAGTCGGCAGTCAGCCTCAATTAATTAGTGAACAACCCTTTAAAACCTGCCTTGTGCGGAATCTTTCTAATGTGCCTTATTGGTAATGTCTACGTACTAACTTATTATGTTATAGCTATTATAGCTCATGTTATTATAGCTAACATTGCCCACTGTTGACTGGAACTCGTCATATGCATTTATAAAAACTCCTTTTTAGAGCATGAACAAGCTGTGCCCCCTATCACTATCTACCACCATAGCAGTGTCCACTGAATTTCCCTTTTGGGGTTCTCTGTCTCAAGAAAAATCTTAGAAATTGACTCGGAAGGAAATCCACGGACAATTTTATTAGAGTTAATAAAATTGGATTCAGGAGGCAGAAACAGGTGGATCTCTGTGAGTTTGAAGCCAGCCTGGTCTACAGAGTGAGATCCAGGACAGGCACCAGAGAAACCTTATCTCAAAAACACAAAAATAAAAAAAGAAAAAGAAAGAGAGAGAGAGAGAGAGAGAGAGAGAGAGAGAGAGAGAGAGA